TTTTGTTATTTATTTTATTTCTTATTTTTTGTGTTTATTTTATTCTTATTTATCTTATTTATCATTTATATATGTTATATTTGATTTTATTAATTATATTAATTAGTATTTTATTAATATAAATATTATGTTATTATTTTATTATTTATTTATTTTTATTATTTATTTTATCTTTTCTTATTATTCTTTTATTATTTTATGTTTATTATATTTTATTTTTATATTTCTTTTTCTATGTGTGTTTCTATTATTTTTATTTATTATATATATTTCTTTTTGAATTTATTCTTATTCTGTTATTATTTATATTTTTTATTTATTTTATTTATTCGATTGTTTAATAAAAAATATATTCATTTTTATTCTTTGTTTATTATTATTATTAATTATTTTTATTTATATATTGATTTGATTATTATATTTGTATTATATCATTTTTATATTTATTATTATTTATATTTTGTATTATTATTTATTTATTATTATCATTTTTATTTTTATTTATCATTTTATATTATATTATTCAATATTTCATGAATTTAATATTTATTATGAAATCATTTATTAATCATTTCATTTTATAATGATATATTAATTAAATTATTTTGTTATATCACATTGATTATTTAATATTTAATGATAGAAATTAATGATATAAGATTAATATAATAGATATAAATAAAATGATGAATATTGAAACAATCATTTAAAATCAAAAATAAATAATAAGAAATAAGAATATGATATAAATAATAAAGAATAAAGAAAAGAAAGATAATAAAAGAAATAAATAATAAATATAAATCAAATCAAATGATAATAATAAAAACAAATAATAAATAAATGATAAATAAATAAGAATAAACAAAAATATAATAATAATAAAAATTAAAATTAAATCAAATCAAAATAATCAAAACAAGAAATGAAAAATATGAATAAAATGAAAATAAATAAATAATAAGAATAAAGAAGAATAATAAGAAAGAAAAGAAATATAAATAAACATAATAATAAATTAAAATACGAAATGAAAATATAATAATAATGATAAATAATAAAAATATGAAAGAATAAAGATAATAATAATATAAAATGATAATATTAAAGAAATTATTAAAATATAAAATAATGATAAAAGAAATCAATGAAATATAGAATAAATTCATTTTAATTTAAATCATTTAAATAATTAAACAATAAAATTATTTTATAATAATGAAATATTTCATAAATATAATAAGAAAGAACAAATGAATGAATATAGAATAATAAATAAAAGAATAATAAATAATAAATTAAAATAATCAATATATTAAAAAGAAAAAAGAGAATAAATAATACATATAAATAAAAATCATAAAAATAAAAAAGAATAAAATAAATTGCATAAATAAAATAAAGTTAAATAATTTGCATCAATAAATTAAACACTTTTTATTACATATTTCTAATTTCTATAATAAAACATACACCTATTATTTCATCATTCTTTTCATCATTTATTATCTCATTTTGAAATATTCCTTTTTATCTTCTTTCATTTTATAATCACAACATTCTACTTTTATTCTTTTCATCTTTTTCTACTTCATAATTTCACTTTTTTCTTTTATATCATTCTTTTTCATCATTTCTCTTCCTTTTTCTCATATTTTCTTTTTTTCGTAGCTCGCTAATGAAAATAGAGAAATTAAAGATGTCAAAATAATTGCAGTAGTAATTTCAATAAATTAATTAGTAAATGAAGAAAGTATTAAATCAATAAAAGAATTAAAGATCGAAATTGACATCATAAAAGAATTCAAAAACATTGTAATTAAAAACATGATGGATTTCATTGAACATTGCATCTACCACAACCAAGCATTGTGGAATTTATAATGAAGTCTCATTGAGGGTAGTCTCCCCTGATCCAGGAATAATAGTCACAAACTCTATTAATACTTAATTAACTACTTTTTATTTTTTTTTCTACGGTACAATTGATGATAGTTGATATCATATGTAAGGGGAAATTTTGGTCCTTTTCGAATATATAACATTTTTATATAATTATATTTTGTTTTTTATATCAATATTTTATAATTAGTATTTGTCATATATAACGCTTTTTATATAAATAGATTATGGAATTTATCTTTTTTTGATGTTTGGATACATTTTTTTGAGGTATTTTTATATTTTGATGTATTATATTTTCGTTGATTTCATATTTTTCGTATTTTGAGGTATTTATTCTTCTTTATATCCTTATTTATCTTCGTTGTTTTCATAATTTGATGTATTATATCTTCCTTCTTTTCATAATTTGATGTCTTTATTTCATTGTTTTGAAGTATAGATTCGAAGGTAACACATCAGAGACACCACAGAGAACCCAAAATTATTTCCTTCCTTCGAACCCCCAGTTATGGTCTGTTTATGACTTTGTGTTTGGTTAGAAAAATATCTTACCCAGTACTGCAAGAATACCAGGGTTTATTATTTGCAAATGGGATATCATTGATAATAAAAGAATGGGTATTTATAATGATGGTATTATTATTTATTATGATGTAAGTACGTTTGATAATATAGGATTATCAAAGAAAAAGGGTGTTGTGGTTGAGTCTAAAAAGAATATTAGTCTAAAACAATATAGTAGTGATTATATATTCTCCTTAAAATAAGAAAATAAAGAAGAATTTTAATACACATCAAAACCAAATAGAAATTAAATGATGATATTTCTTTCAATTCAACAATAAAATCAAAGAATAAGCTATAGTCGATGAACAAACAATTTTAAAGTAAAGGGACATGATTAGTTAATTTCTTATGAGCAAGGAACAATAGAAAATATTTATATTAATACTTAATTATCTACTTTTTATTTTCTGTATCATTTTCTATTTTTATTTTCTTCTATCATTAATTATCATTATTTTATTACTTAATTATTTAACATTTTATACTTCTTTATATTTATAATTCTTTCTTCTTTGATTATTATTTTCTTTCTTATATTCTTTTTCTACTAATTTAATACCTTTTCTTTCTTTCTTTTAATTCTATTATATATTATTATCTTTTTGTATATTCTTTTTCGTTTCTTTTATTTCTGTAATACTTTTCTATTTCTTTTATTCATTATGTTTTATATTACTAATTCATTTTTATTATTTTGATATTCATTATCCGTATATTTTTGATAATTTTATGGTGCCTTAATCATCTTAGGTTATGAATCTTATGATAATAAATAAAAGAAATAACATATTATTGATGTAATTGTACAAAATGAAAATATAACAAACAGATATTTAAATAAATTAATAAATACGAATATTACAATAGAAATTAATGAATATAAAGATAAGTAGAAATTATTTAAGTTATGATATCTTGTTGATTTAATTAAAAATTATCAATAATAAAACTAAAATAAATAAAAAATGATTTAGATATGATAATAATGATATTACAAATTAGACAAATGAAATTATGTATTAATTATATAATTATTTGAATTATAATGATATAAAATCACAATATAGTACATTGATAAAAGACTCTGATAATATAGAGAGTGATGATGAAATTAATAATAATTATAATAATGTAACATCTCAAAAACAATAAGAACATTGATAAACAAATAAATACCATAATTAGATTATTTTTAATGTTTCTATCAAACTCTACTTTTAATAATAAAACGTATTATATAATACATGTATATATTTTATTATGTTTTGGTGACAATACAATTATATAAATGATATTCTACCAGAGTTTTAAAAATAAATACAAAAATTGATAGTTTAATAAGAGATCTAGAATAATAATAATGTTAATAGAAAGTGTAATAAAGATATAGATTCATTAGTTGATATTACATACTATGTGTAATGATTATTTAGTATAAATTGTGACTGCGTGATGACGTGGCATTTGTATATATAATTATTGTAGTCACAATTATACTAGTCACACAGCCCTACGGGCTGTACGACGCGAAGCGTCGTGTGACTAGTATAATTGTGACAATAATTATATTGGAAAAGAGAATGTGACTGTTGACGTGGCAATCACAATTTATACTAATATATATCATTATAAATGGTATGTATGATATTAATGATCCCCTCTTTGTTATTAATGAATCTATATCCTTTATTACACTTTATATTCTCTTTATTACACTTCTATATCTCTTATTAACATTTCTATATCTCTTATTAATCTATCCTTCTATTTATTTCTATTCCCTTCTTCTTTTATACTTATTACATCTTTTCTTTTCTTCTTCCATTCTTCTCAAATTAATGTTATTATTTTTTTATGTTATTTTTAACAAATTCTATTTATAGTAAATGATATGACATTTGGACTGTTTGATTTTTTTATTAACATTTTTTGATTAAAATTTTTTGTAAAAAATCGGGAAACATCAATCTGACGAGATCTTGAGTGGAGTAATTTCAAGTTAATGGTAAAACAAATAATTTAATAATAAACTATACTAATATTTAATTACCCTACAATCTAGATATGGTCATTTGATAGTTTATGTTCGGTA